ATTTAAAAAAAAAAAAAAAAAAAAAAAAAAAAAAAAAAAAAAAAAAACCTTAATTTTTTAAACTACAATAACAAATATCATTTTATTAAACATTTATGTGTATTATAAATTCAGATATATATATATATATATATATATATATATTTGCTACGACTATTAAATAAATTCTTTTGCAAATAAAATAATTAATATTCTTACTGAATAAAAACATGATAGAGTAAAATAAAATTTTGTAATGTTAATATTTCTGAGAAACCTAAATCTCAGTAGTTTCATTATATATTTATTATGGTAAACAATTCGGATTATTAATTACTATAAAATAACAAATAAAAGCCAAATCTTGGTGTAATATATAGTTATATCACTTTCATTGTGATATGAACTTTGTAGATTTAAGGATTCATTTGAGAAAACATTTTTACTGTTTTCAAAAGCAACATTTTAGTTTAAAAATTTTTTATACTAAAAATCTGTTTTAAAGAAAACAGAGAAACTGTCCCAAACGAAATCTAAAATTTTACTTTATATACATCAACTTCATAAAATAGTAAGAAAGCTGTCTCAAATGAAGTATGAAGATTTGTTTGGGTCAGCTACAACTTTTTAATTAGTGATTATTAAAAATGTTGCAAGAGAGTAACTTTTTGAAAGCTATGATAAAAGTTAATTTTCTAGTACAAAAATTTTATATAAAAAAAAAATAATGATCAAATAAAAATTATAATTGTGATAGAAGAAGCAAAATAGTATAAATATTGCCTCAAATGAAGGTGAAATTATTATGTTCAGATACGGACGCCTCAGTAAAGAATCAGAAAGCGCACGTCGCCCGTTTGCTATGTATCATTGTGTACCGGGTGACGTGATACGTTCTGATTCACCTCCAAACGGTCTGATGTCCTCACAGAATAATTTCTCCAAATGAAGCCCAAATCAGTTTTGAAGCCTATGCGCCCTAAATTGACATCTCAAATAAAGGGCAACCTCATTTGACTCATGCATCTTTGTCATTACTAGAGGAAAAGGGTTTGTGTACCCCTTCATGATGGCTAGAATTTACAATATCAACATGAATTCTAGCTTATGATTAAATCATACTAATTAATTCAGGTTTCGTTTGGAACAATTTTTTTCTTATTTTTCAAAGAAAAAATTTCTAGTTAACAAAGTTTTGTACTATTTTTTTAAAAAAAAAATAGTAAGAAAGCTCTTCCAAATTAAGCCTAATTTGAGTTTATCACAATCAAGCACAAAATCAATCTCTTTATTGAGAGCGAACAAAATAAGATTGCTGAATGTATAATCTCAAAGATAAAATATTAAAGCAATATTCTTTTTTAGAATTTTAAGCAATTGCATTTATTATGGATTAAAAAAATAGTTAAAATACTTATTTTATAAAAAAAAATTCCAAATAGGCAAAAAGTCCATCTCTATCACAACCATACAATCCATCTCCTTAAAAACATGCGGATCATCGAATTTAAGCTTCCTCTCCCCCAAAGTCCACACAAGCTAATTAAAATAATCTCAACTTAAGCTTCCAGAAAGCCAATCCGTTTGTGTATAATTAAGAACAAATGTTCAAGAAAGCAGGAAAGAAAGAGCTGATCTAACAAAACCTCGTTGTAATTAACCATGATGATGTCGGCCCTCGTGCTTCAGACCTCTTGTTTTAAGAAGCAGTAAAAAAGTCATTCCAAATGAAACGTTTGGGACATCTTCTTAAATCGACTTTTTAGTACAAAAATTAAAATTTTTGTTCTAGAAATCGCTCTAAGAAGCAGTACGAGAGCCGTCCCAAACTAATTAATTAAGCAGAAATATGATACATAAAATAGTCATCATCTAATGCATCTAACTATATAAACCCCACATTTATTCCAAGATTGTTACACCCAACTCCTATATATAATTGCTTAATTAAAAGCGCTTTTTATAATTACCCATCACTAATCTCTATGATTAGCGCAAAACCCAATATTAAATACTGCCGTACATCCTACCAAATTTAGCCAAACTCCTCCCCTCCAGCTTACCATAATCATCCACATGTTAAAGTTTTTAAGTAAATTTTAAATTTTTAACGGCAACTTTCTATAATCTATTGTAATTTTGTTAAAACTAACCAGGAATATTAGCCTTAATCTACCCGACCTAATCTCACCAATAATCCACCAATTAAGCTTTCGGATGACCAATCCATAGATGTGAGAGTGACCCCACCTTCCATATATTTCATTTATGAATATTTCTGACATCGCATACTATCAAATAGTTACTCTCGATCTCAATTTAATTATTACACAGACCCTTAAATGTCTTCCATGACGCAAAAATATTAAAAGTAGAGGAGCTCACTGTTAATTAATTGGAAGCATTTAAAGAATTTGATAATGGTTTAATAGTTTATGATAGTTGATAGGTTGGAATTAAATTTTAATAAAAAATGTTATTAAATATTTTCAATTGTTAGTTTGACTTGAGTTGAGGTTGGTTTGATAATTAGCTCATTGACTTCGATTGAGATTTGTTTAAGGAGAATATTAATTTTATTTTTGAGCGATTATGAAGTCAAATTCTTAATTATATATATATATATATATACCTCGTTTTTTTCGGTGTTTTTAATCATTTTCTGTTTAGAAACGACAAAATTATTTTTTGGTTGATGTTTGGATGGGAAAATTCTATAGAAATGTTTTTTAGGAAATTTCATTTTTCTACTATTTTGAAAAGTTTTTTGATATTTGCTTCTCGATTAGAAAACTCAATTCCCTTAACCATTGTTTCTAAAACTATTTTTTACAGAGGAGAGGAAGAACTAAATGAAGCCTTAGTTGATCTAAATTTATTGAATTATAAATTATTGAAATTATGATTTCTCGGTAACTTTAATTTGAGGTTTTTTTAATGGATGTAATTAAGAGATTGTTTGATTGTAAGTATTAAGCTTGTGAAGTAATAAATGAAAATTGAATTCAATACTTTTAAGTTTGATTGTAAGTGTTAGGCTTGTGAAGTAATAAATGAAAATTTATAAGAATATCAATTTAACATGGATCATTATCGAGCTAATTCTTTTATTTTCTCATATTTATGTCTTCACCTACTACCCCTCGCACACTTATGAGCCATGACATTCCCTCGCTATCACTATCTAACCGAAACTTGATGTTTACTGTTGAGCCGCCCTGTTTCATCTGTCGTAATCTCATACCAAATATTATCACTTGAATCTAATCACGCCCTATTGTCTTGCTATAATCCTCATCAATTATCTCCATTTGATTGACTCTTTCGATTTCACTACTCGTCATCATCGCCCCTCAACGACGACGCTAAAACTCCTCTTTTCATTCTATAATTTTTCAATAAATAAATAAATAAATAAAATTGGAACCTTCTTAAATTCTGACATGACATGTACCAAATAACATTTATATTTAAATAAAATATTATCTAAGACAAAAAAAAAATTATAAAAAAGAGCATGCGCTTTTATTATATTAATTAATGAAATTTAATATATTCGTATTTTATGTATGTTCTATTTTTAGAGTAATGTACCCTTACTCGAACCTTTTCGTGGCGACAAATTCATCAGCCATCATCCCCCCCTCCCCTACGAACAATTATTACGTCCTCCGATCGGATGCAGAGAAGCATCCGGTCGTAGGAAAAAACAAACTCGGTACCGAGGTGTATCGAGTTTTTCAAAAAACTCGGTGCACCTCGATACCGCCTTTTTTTTGCCTACGACCGCATACTTCTTGCATCCGGTCAACCGAACCAAATAAAAGTTCCTCCCCTACACAATAATGAATACAGATTACACAAACCCAGCAACTTCATAATTTCTGAATTAAAAAAAAAAAAATCCCATCTGGAAATCCCTTCACTAATCTCCTCCGCTTCCACCCTCTGTTTTTGGCCTTTTTGCTTCCGGTAGGGTTCGTCGGGGAAAGCTTGCTTTGAGACTCGGGGAGGCCCAGATCTGCTCGAGTTCTCGGGCAAAAGCCTTTTGCCGGCCGATGACAATGGTGATGTGGTCCTTGCCTTTGATGAGGCGGAGGTTGGCGCGCGGGACTCTGGCCTTGACGGCGGCGCTGCAACTTACGGGGAGGAGATCGTCGTCACAGCCATGGATCACCGTCACCTCGCACGCGCGCATCCTCTCCCTTACTGTGTCTAAGTAGCCTTCTAGTTTCCCCGCGCTGCCGCAGATGATGTTGTGAAGCGTATGCCATGCCGCGTTGTGCGTGTGGCAGAAGAATCCCTCCATCAGAAATGTCCTTATCCTGTTCCCACGGATCACACGCACACACAACAATGAGATTAACCTCCTAATCCATAATTCTCCCCCCAAAAAATGAGATTAACCTCCTAATAATTATATGAAATACTGTTAGAAGTTAGCTAATGAATTTACATCCTCTCTAATTATCATGTTAATTCAATAATTTACATTTACTTTTTAATAAAGTTAATATAAATTAAATAGTTAGAATCTTCAAAATCATGTGATAATAATTATTCCCATATATTTTATTTAAACATATATTTAGGACAAACTATAGTACACATGGAAAATAAAATTTAAATTGAAATTTAACAAAAAAAATTAAAACCACTAAATTTATTTTGATAAAATTGTGATATATAATCAATACAAATTTTCTTACTTTTTAATTCAAAATAAATTCAATACTTTTAAATTAGAGCTTTTAACCAAAACTTTTTTTCATATATGTGGGAATGATATAAAATTCATATTTAAAAAAATCTTTTTTTTTTTAACTATTTTGTATGTAAAATTTGTACTTCATCCCTTTAGATATTTATTAAATACTGAAGTAATGACACAAAATATTTGGCTTACACTATGACCAATAAATATATATATAATTCTTTTATTGAATTTAAATAAAAATTTAACTTTTAATAGAATATAATGAAAAAAAATCATATAATCGATCCAACACAGTGAGATAAAAATTGGAGAAATTATTCTGTGAGGAGAATAGACACAGAACATTTTCCGAAGACCAACCAGAATGTACCACGTCAGCTGTACCGAGCAATACCTAGCCACGGTACTAAGTGAAGGGATGATGTGGCGCATTATGATTTGTCTCCAGATGACATTCATGGTCCGCACATAATAATTAATCTAAAAAAATTAATGTTGTTGATTAGAAGATATTTATAAGTTAAAAATGTATTATATCTTGAATTTAGAATATACCAATTCATGCATCGTTTGAGACGATTTTTTTACTGATTCTTAAAACAGCTTTTTATTAAAAATTAAAATTTTTCTAAAAAAATTACTTGAAGAAATCGTAAAAATAATCTCAATTTGAATTAATATCCTAATCTGTATTGATGGCTGAAGCTTACGCCTACCCGGACTTATGTGGCGCATTCTAATAGATGCGAGCGGTCAGTTCATAAATTGAGCTCGTCTCTATCATAATGCGCCACATGTGTTTGGCCAGCAATGGCTTCACTCGCTGCTGCAACAAGCAATGATGCTAAAAATTGCTGCATCTTCTGTAGCTGTCGTTATAATTTATTATGTCAGAACAGAAATTTTTTTAATAATAATAAGACTAAAAAATTTCTTTTAAATTTAATTGATTCATACGTAAAATTAAAAGTTTTATATTAGCAAGTAAAAGAGTCAATATTAATTTGGGCATACCTGTTACAGGTTAAAAGGCGAAAGAGGAATTCCCAGAAGCGGTGATGCTTGCACATGAGTAGGCACACGCTTCGACTGATGTGCTCGTACCAGCAGGCCACCGATGCGCCCAGCGCTATCATCGGCCACACCCGCCGCGGCGCCACCCGCCGGAGCACATACTGAGTTCCCTGTACCCCCTTCGGCACTGGAAAGTAAGGCTGCAAATGGGCCAGTATAGACAAATTAAGTATTAACTATAGAGCTTTGATTATTATATCTCAACTGTCAGATCCTTTGTAGGCAGCTAAACATTCAATTCGTTTTGTTTGATTGAATTTAATCCCAATGAGCTAAATTGGACCAGACAGGATTAAATTAAGTTCATTTTCACAAACAGGATCATATCTTTAGAGAACTGTAGAACATCCAGACCAAAAATATTAGTGCCAGAAACCTACAGTACAAATTTAATGAGATAATGGCGATGTTATAATAATACCGGTGCGAGGAGAGTGAGTGATTTAATGGCGTCGGGGTGCTTGACGGCGAGAGCAAGCGCAAGTATGGAGCCGAGAGAGTGAGCGACAATGTGTAAGGACCGCACCCGGTGGCGCTTCAACACCGACCGCTCTATCATGTCGACGTGCTCCTGCAGCGTGTACAGTGAATCCGCCGGCTTCGGGCTCCGGCCAAACCCCAGCAAATCCACCGCGAAAAACCTGTATCTCGACCTCGCCACCTCCGACAGATTAGGGAAGACCGTCTCCGTCCAAAACGCTGACGACGATATGAAGCCGTGGATGAACAGCACATCCTCCACCGCTGCCACTCCATCTGCATCCGTCCGTCACTATGGTTAGAAGTTGAATATTATTAACTTAAAATAAATAAATAAATAATGCGCGAGTGGGTAGCCCAATGCATTAATAAATGATCGTAACTATTAACATTTATATCAGCATTAAATTTAATTACAAAAAATATATATAAATATCAGCATTAAATTTATATTAAATGACTGATGCTCCTTCATAACTTTAAATTTGTTGAATTAAAGTAAAATTTAGAGAGCGAAACGAAAGCTACGAACGGTATGAACTAAGAATTATTACTGTTATAGAAGCGACTGAAGGAGGTGGAGGAAGCACATCTGTACCTGGCGGATACTGCGCCTGCACGTATAAGTCTCCGGAGGCGGAGGGAGAGCACCAACCGGCGCACCGCTCGCAGGCGCAGTCAGACCAGCGAGGAATCGGATTAGACTTCCGGCCGCCAATCTTCCCCTGCAGCATCTCTACAATGGCAGAGTTGATCGTGAACGTGGTGACAGACGCCGCGTCCGAGCGTGTTGAGCCGAAGCGGCGAAGCTCAGTGATGGTGGAGCGCGAGAGCTCGGAGAGAAGCGGGGGGCGGGAATACAGAGTGTCGGAAATATCCTCAAGATGGATCTTGCTGGAGCACAGGCATACAATCTTAGACCATCCGCCTTTCTCCGAGACGAGTATATTGCCGCTGCTCGTTATCATTTCGCGCGCCGAGGAGGAGCAATAGCACGGCTTCCATTCTGCCTCAAAGGCATAGTCAAGAAGCTTGTACACCAAACACAGCACAGCGTCGAGGAGATCCAAGACGGTGAAGACGACGAAGCTGACGACCTCGTTAACCAAACGCCCCGCCATAGCAGCGCGGTTCTTCAAGCTTGCCTGCATGAATCCCTGTTTGGGACGTGGCTTAGGCATATTGAAGAAGGAGCTAAGCAGCGTGGGAGAGGGGGCCGGGATTAATTATATAAAGAGGAACGAAGGGAGGACGGAGCTAGGTGTTTAAGTAGATTTGAAAGTTAATTAAGGATGCACGGAGGGGAAGTGGTGGGGAATGGGAGATTGAAGGGGAAGAGTGAAGCGGAGAAATGGTGAATTCATTGTTACATTAAAATGGTTTGTTGGACAAGGAAAAGAAGGTAGGTGGTAGTTGAGCTCCCTCGGCCAACAATTCCATTCCTACACTATTCGACGCTAATTGCTCTATCTTTTGTATATGGAATGTAGACTATTTATATTGGAGTTAATAATAATAATAAAGTTTTGTTTGAGATATTTTTTCTATTATGTTTTAAAACTGTTTTTTATATAAATTTTTTTACTAAAATATTATTCAAACGGAGCTTAGGGCATCTCCAACCGAACTCCAAACACTTGAATGATGTCCCTAGCCAGCTCCAGCCGAACGATAAAACTTTCGCTATTTGGCTGCTGGTGAACAGTGGGACGCCAATATTGGTATTGCACTGTTCATCTCCGCCATGTTTATGTCTCTACCGAACTTGTCGCGCGAAAGAAGAGACGAGCACCGTTACCTGCAAAAGGGGGAAAAATTGAGTTCGATCGATTGGAGATGAATCACGGCATTTTTTAGTTTCACGACATTTTGGAGTGAAAAATGAGATTTTTGGTTTTAGATGCTCTTAGATCATACGTTTGCAGGGACCGTAATAATAATAATAAAGTTTTGTTTGAGATATTTTTTCTATTATGTTTTAAAACTGTTTTTTATATAAATTTTTTTACTAAAATATTATTCAAACGGAGCTTAGGGCATCTCCAACCGAACTCCAAACACTTGAATGATGTCCCTAGCCAGCTCCAGCCGAACGATAAAACTTTCGCTATTTGGCTGCTGGTGAACAGTGGGACGCCAATATTGGTATTGCACTGTTCATCTCCGCCATGTTTATGTCTCTACCGAACTTGTCGCGCGAAAGAAGAGACGAGCACCGTTACCTGCAAAGGGGGAAAAATTGAGTTCGATCGATTGGAGATGAATCACGGCATTTTTTAGTTTCACAACATTTTAGAGTGAAAAATGAGATTTTCGGTTGGAGATTCTCTTAGATCATACGTTTGCAGGGACCGCTAGATTTCTCCTAGTAGATTATTTGTGAGAGTAAATTATAAGATTAATTAATTCCAAGATTTTTTTAATTATATTTATTTTAATCAAATCTATAATTTTAAGTATTTAATTTAGTCTTTAACAAATCAAATATTAATCAATTTGATCATATCATTAACGTACTCTATACATATCTTAGATAAAAATTAGTGGGGGAAATTTTTCATGAGAATATTTTGAATTTTTTGAATAAAATAATTGTGAAATTAATGATATGATCAAATTCTTTTTAATTTTATAAGTTGAAAGATTAAATTTGATATCAAAAATATTTAAGGAAAAAAAGAATGTATTTAGAAAGTTTAAGCACCGCTCTGAATATCGACAAATTTATGTGTGGCATAGCTAACACATTATCTTTTCTAATAATTAGGATTAATATAAAATATAAACTCTCATAAAATATTGAATAATATCTTAAATTTTGTCTGCTCTTCCAAAATTTTTTTCTTTGATTTTTAATGCTATCTTTTTTTTCAGAAGCAGGGAAAACGAAAACTTCCCCCAAACGAGCGAAAGCCAGAGAGACAAGCTCCCGCTGGGACGGGGAAAAATCCCGCCGCCGCCGCCACCAAACCCTACGAGCTCGCCAGTCGCCCCTCGAGGAAATAATGTTTGGTTAAGAGTTAGAATTACAAACTAATCGCCCCTCGAGGAAATAATGTTTGGTTAAGAGTTAGAACTTCAAACTAATAAATTTTGAGTTGAAGATTTTTATGTGTATTGTGTGTGAATTTGTAATTAAATTTTCTTCAACAATTATTATTAATTGGTGATTGCTGCGAATTAATAGTATGTGTATTTTGATTGTGTGCATTAGAGGGATAAAAATTTATTGGGATACATTAATAAACATGTTGCACCTTAGAAGCATTGTAAGAGAGAAGAACGAGATTAATCAATTTGTACAAAGTTTTAGGGTTTAATCTAACAAGGTGTAATGGCTTGAGACTTATGTAAATAATTTTAAAATAAAAATTTAGGAAATTTGGGCTGCAGCGTTGTGTTTGTGAGCGCAGCGGCGCCAATAAGCGTCAGGAAAGAACCACTGCGGTACTGAGATTTCTTCTAATCGTGGTAGGTAATATGAATCATACCTTTGTTTCCTATGATTTTATGTATGGTAAATTTAATCTCTCAAATTGATAAAAATATAATTTCTCTTGATTTATCAAATTTTTATCACATAACTTTTTGTGTATGATAGATATAATTCTTATGAGAATTTTGATTAAAATATTATTTAATTTTATAGGGTAGATTGATAGTAAGGATTTTTTTAAATTTAATACATAGTGTGTAGATTTTCCTACATTCATAGATCTAAACTTTTTTTCTTTAAGGAATGATGATGGTAAAATAAAAGACTGGTTACCAATTGAATGATAATTATGATTAAAAATATTGAAAACAACACATTAAAACTGAATGTCTTATCTTGTTATTCATAATCACATGCATGATTACATTTACATGAACTGGTTGATAGATATAACTGAAATAACTAGTATTAAAATTGATACAATATTATATATCATCTAACATATACGTACGCTTATGAATATTGATAAACATATGATATAGTACACTGATATGATATACTGGTAGGCAGATAAATATGGAATATCATTAATAGAAAACATAGGATGTAATCATTGACATAAACATAATTGATAGATATTGAGGCATCACATAAGGGATGCAAGAGTTTTTATGAGAAAATTAGAATGAATAATTATGGAATCAGACCCAATTGAAATAGCCCATAACATAAATGAAAGATTAGAAATATTTACCATTCTCTTTAATTAGTGTAGAAGAAATTAAAATATCTGAACTACTAGTCTGGCTTCATGTGATAATAGTAGAAATGCTGGATAAATAATAAGAAGTGCGTGTGTAGGTGTGTATGAATAGCTAATTAAATTAGTCATGTGACAATGATCTGCATTATCGGTTAATAATTCACAAGGGCGATCAATCATTTTAACCATAGGTTTCTTCAGTATTCATTTCATAATTAAAATATAGGTTTCAATTATAAATTTGCTAAACATTAATTATATTCATATGATCCCGAAATTAATTATAGAAATTTCAAATTTGAAAATCCAAAAAAAAAAAATTTAATTTGAAAGTTGCATTAAGATGCAGGTTGATAAAATTAATTTTATAACCTACATATCAAAACAAATTCATTTATAATAAAATAAACTAATCCTTCAAATTAGAGTTAATGACTAAGGTTTCGTTTGGAACGCTTTTTTTACTGCTTCTTGAAGCATTAGTACAAAAATTTTAACTTTTATACTAAAGAGTTACTTCAAAAAGCAGTAAAAAAGCTGTCTCAAATGAAGTCTAAGTGTTCATTATTCTTCAGTAAAATGGTTATTTAAATCTTCGTTTGGGACAACTTTTTTGCTACTTTATAAAACTATTTTTTAGTAAAAAAAATTTCAATTCAAAAAATTTAGTTACTAAAAAGCTATTTTGGAAAGCAACAAAGAAGCTGTCCCAAATGAAGCCTAAATTTAATAGTCTCATCCATCATAGCAATAATCTAAAATCATTCACAAGCTAGAATTATGTAATATGGCCAAATAACTTAGGTTTCGTTTGGAACGGTTTTCTTATCACTTTCTAAAGCAGCTTTTTAGTACAAAAAAATTCTAGCTCAATGAATTTTTATACTTAAACCTATTTTACAAATCTATAAAAAAGCTATCACAAACGAAACATTAAGCATGCATGGTTGTCACCATTGCTCTACGAAGAAGATCAAGCAGGATGGATATATACATATTTCAGTTCACTGAGCTTTACTTGGCACAAAATAATACTCGGGTTCAAAACAATTTTGCTCGTTATTTATCTACAATTTTCTCCTGTCCTAATTAAGCAAAAAATCTATAGAAGCCCGGGAAAAATCTTTAGCTAATTATTAAGGCGAGATATTAGAAGCGCTGCATGTCTTGGCCAAGCAGAACCTACATGCATGAAATGATAACAAGTAAGATACTGATAAATCAACCAAGCAACCATTAATGGTTCTTATAGTAAGATCGCACAAGTTGTTTGCCATGTGCATGTGAGAGAGAGAATTCATTCACGTCCTTCAGAGGAGAAGATTATAATTAAAATACTAAGTAACTTATCAGAATAATCTTGCTTATGATGTTTCATCGTAGAATTTATGTTCAGATTTTAGAGAGATAAAGCATGCTATGTTATGCTTACAAGAAAGAAACTCTCAGACTGAAAAGGAAAGAAATTAATTAAGAAAATCTCTACTAGAAGTAAAGTGTCCATGTGTCTCCAATTTAGGGTTTTGATTTCAGAAGGATTCAACTCTGCATTTAAATTTCAGATAATTAATCACAACGTGGCTGTCGCAACATTCTAATTCACATTTAAGAGAGCTTAATTTACTTGGGGCCTTTCAAGCCTTAATATATTAAATAACCATTTCACAAAAGTTAGCTTGGTTGAGTGTAATAAGGAGATAATTTTTATGTTATAATATTTCGTTAAGATACAATGCACACAAAGATAGGAAAAAAAAAACTATGTAGATTTCAGAATTTTTACTTGAAAAATGTAGAAAAGAGAAAAATTATTGGGCTTGACCCAGATTAAATGACCCACTATGTAGATATGTTACAAGAGTTCGCTCTTCTCATCAATTAGGAAAAATGGGATATTATAATGTATATTATATGAGTTTGTACTTTTGTGAATGTGAGGGCAAATATTGGGCATGTAATGATTTGACGATGTTAGTCGGAGACAACAATGAACGAATCACGATGGCCGGGTGGATAGTCAGGCAAAGATACGATATATATTGATGTCACAATAGTCAAATGATGGTGGTCAAATAACGTTGGTGAAGCTGATGTTATTATTGTAGGGCTGCCGCCCAATCATCATCGTTTGAATGTCATAATTTGATCATCGCCACCCAA